AATTAGCTAAGTTATTACAACAAAGGCTAATAATGAATAATAAACTAGCTACCTAATATAACTAGCTATAATAATTGCAAAAAAGCCAGTACTACAACAAGAATAATTACAACACTAAGTACAATAATAATATGAACAATAATATTACAACATTTAATATGAAATAAAGATGCACAATTTTCAGAAGCTGCTCTGTCTACTTTTCGTGCAATTGCTCTGTTTCACCCTCAGCCATTGCGCTCTGCTTCTGCCAAAAATGCACTGCTTATCAAATCATTGGGGCCTGGCCGGGTCCAAACAAGGTCGGTCATGCCCTAATTTCATGCAAAACCTGTTTTTGTGCTCTGAGGTAAAAATAGTGCAGACAGAGTAGCTTAAGCCTTGTTTGTCCCCCCTACTCTTCTCTGTCATGTGGAACTTCAAGAAAATAGCGGATTTGGTTCCAAAATCATCAACAAGCACATGTTGATGGCTTGATGATTTCAAACACAATTGGACAAAAAGTTAATAAACGCAATGAAAGGTGACCACCCCTCCCTCTTATCATGAATTTAGCTCAAAGAGAAAGGCAGAGACGCTTCAAGGTTCATCAAAACATCATGAATTGACGTATGACGACCCTTGACATGATGGGCTTGGCATAACATCCAGCCAAACCCAATTAATACAACTCATTTTCCTTATGTCGGTTGACTTGCTTTTAAGCCAATTTTATTTACCTTTCCAATACTTAATCAATTTGCCCAATAATGAGAGTTACGTCCACTAAAAGGAGAGAAGCATCAAACGAGAACTTGTTTTCGACATTAGAAAGATGTAATGCCTTGATAATGAACCTCCGAAGAGATTAAACCATTTAACATTATATGTATCTTTCTCATGTTTAAACAACATTCAATTGAAACAACTCTCAAAAAGAAAAGAAAAACCAAGAAAGAAGGAAGGTTGTAGAAATGATTATGCAAGGTTGATTTACTACACAAGTGAAACCCTTTATATGGAATTAAGTATGAAAGAGCTATCAACTCAAATGACTCGGTGTCTAAGGCCTAAACAACCAAAGCCGTGAGAACTTACAACACAACAATCATAATATTCAAAACATAAACTATTTAAATAAATTAAAACAGCCCTAAAACAGCCCCTAAAGTGTAAAAAACAGTAGCTAAAACCATGTTAAAAGAGCACATAAAGATAGGCAAAAACAAAGAGATACAAAGCTAGTAAGCAAAGCTAAGAAAGGGTGGCTAACCCCTCCACTTTTGGGACTTCTAAACCATATTTTAGCCTCTGGAAATAGTCTAAAAATAGTCCAAGAACAGCCCCAAAACAGTGGCTAAAATCAGATAAATAAGTGGGAAACACAAGGATATAAGCTTAGAATAAGGTTTAAGGAAAGGTGGTTAACCCATCCACCTTTGGTAGCACTTTCACAAATTTCAGCCCACAAAGCAGCTCCAAAACAGTGTACAAAGCATGGAAAATAGAGGAAAAGAATAAAAGAGAAATAAGGAAGAAGATGCAAAAGTTATACCTCTTGAAAGAGAGGATGCTTGTAATTAAACAAACTTGATTCCAACAATCTCAAGTTTTATGAAATATGGTTTGAAACTTCAACAAAAGCTTCAAAAACAAGCTCTAATGGTGTATGTATTGTCACTACAAAAAAATTCACTTTTAGCAGCGTTTTTTATTGTAGCGGTCTGAAAAATGCTGCTATAGATGAGCTATTGTAGCTGTTATTGACCACAACTAAATGTAAAATTTTTAGTAGCATTTTTTCCTTAAAACGTTGCTATATTTATTTTTTTAGCAACGGTTTGACCTCAGGCGTTACAAAAACCAAGCAAAATGAAGCCGCCAAATAAAACGAAAATTTCGTGCCAAATCAGATTTTTTTTTTTCGAAAATAACATATCAGAATTTCAATAAAAAAAAAAACAAAAACAAAAACCGTTCAACCATCCTTGATTACAATTTGTGCCCTAGTCTATCAACACTTCTCTCCTGCAAGTATCAGAGTCTTCGTTCATCCTCCATCGCGGCGTATGTTGACGACATCAAGCTACGGAACCACTGTGATTTCAAGGTTAGCCTCCTCTCTCTGTTTCTCCTTCTTTATCCCCTCTTTCTTCTGGTCTCTCAATTTCTGTCTCTACCCCTCTCTGTTTCTTCTACTGTTTTCGAACAAGATTGGGTCCATGGAATTCATTGTTAAGATGAGATACTTGCCATCCATGCATGGCTTCTAATATCTCCAAAACTTCTCTACTTTGAAGGATTTTAGGAACATCTTGAATGATTTTGATTTGGGAAAATAATTTGGAAAATAGATTGATTAACATAATACGTATTTTGATTATGATATTCACACACACACACATATTTGATCATCTATGAGCATCATATTATAACAAATATAATTAATGAAGAGAATGGATCGTTGTTGATGATATACAGTAAAAGTTCATGCTTGAAGAATCATTATGTATGCTAGATATTTGATGAAATGCCACAATGGAGTAATAGTGCCTACCTTTTAGTTTATTTGTTTGTTCTGTTGTTCTGTTGTTTTTTTTTTTTTTTTGGTTGCCTTCCTGGGAATCATTCCAATTACAAAATTTATCTGTTTTTGAAATTTACTTCACATTGATCAAATCATCACATATTATAACACAGTAAAGTATAGGCAAACAATATCTGCCATTGCTCAAATCATCACATATTATAACAAGATGTAAGAAAACTTAGACTTACATTCCTGCAATGCGTGGCTGAATAGAATCTCCCTCGTCCGAAATCGTTCTTTCGAAAGAGTAAACCAACCTTCTGCAACAACTTCAAATGACCCTTCTGTATCTTTAGATAGTTCAACATCATAATCAAGAGCAACATAACATAGGTTCTATGAGTGCATTAAACCCAAACAAGATCAGGCAATATGTATAGTGTGTGATAAAGCAGGTAAGTATTGTACAATTACCAAAGTGAAGTCAAACATATGCAGAAAAGAAGTAATAAACAGTATACTAGGGTTCAGTTGTTATTTTGTGGAGGACCCTCTAGCATGATCTTAACTGTTCAAGTGTGGAAAATCCACTTAAAAATCTTATTAGCAGGATTCATATACTTCAGTGAGGGGATTGAGCAAAACCCTCCCGGCATTTGAGACTCTGCTGCCAAAATATGTCCTGATCAAATCAAATTAATAGCTAGAAAATAGTTGGTGTTTTAGAAGGTTTTTGTGGTCTTATGAGCTATCAACCTGGCTATTGGGGGACAAAATGAACTAATTATATCATCAAAAAAAGTTTATAAAAGCTAAAATCAGTAATTGAATATACCCAAAAGCACTAAGAAGTGAGATTTTCATGGATTAGCATTAGCTGTAAATGCAATATCTAATAAAGACCAGGGCTTTGAATTATCAATCGGCTTTCATCAATTAGACAATAAAAAAGGTTGTCCCTAGAAAGAGAGCTAACCATATGGGTGTCTTGCATAGACTTGAGGCTCCTAGAACTCATAGAGTTGTAGGCATTCATTTTCTCAACTTTCAGTCGGGCAAGGGCAATCCATTTCAATCCTAAAACCATACCATATCCCTGCCTGTTTGAAGAGCTACAGGAGAAAACATCCGGAGGAGGGAAGCTTACGGATGTCTACACATACGAAATCCCAAGTACAGAACAAAACCCTATGTTTCCAACATCACTTACTGCTATTTCTTCTTGGATTCTAGGGTGGAATTCATGACTTCTAGAGCCATCCAGCTGACTAGAACAATCAATTGGTGAATGTCACATTTACTCTACATGCTGACAAGCCAGCCACACTTCTAGCCAGACTTTTCCTCATTAATGAGAGGAAAGACAAATATCAGAGTCCATAGAGCAAAGAGCACTATCAATACCTCTTTTAATGTGCGCACAGTGTACAGTGACTCAAAATGTATATTTTTCTATTGCATTTGTTCGCTAAGGAATCCTGTAAGCTTCAATGCTCCCATTCCCACAACTTTAACACCCACCTTGCACATGACTTGACCATGTAAAACTGCAGAATAGAATCCAAAACTTAGAAAATTGAGTCGCAGGTGACCATGCACAATTAGGAAAAGAGAAACTTAACAGAAATCATGTAATAGAGAATAAGAAAATAGTAGTGAACACCTAGCCATTTTTTATGCATAAACATGAAAAGAACAGAAAGAAAGAGATTAATGGGATTGCTGAAAAAAATTAGAGCAACGGGTAGAAAATGCATGATTTCTAAAATTGATGTAATAATGACAACAGTGAAGGGAAAGTATAAGCATTCTGTGCAACTATAAGTAATCAATTGCATTTAGAAAGTTTCGTAAAGCTTAGGCCCACTTGCACTGTACAACTGCGGGAAGTTGCTCAAATATTAATTTTGAAATTAAAATGAGATCCTATAGCTTACTTGGAACAACAGAGGTCTGGTGGAAACCAATGTTAACAACAATTCCTGAAGTTTGTCTTGTTGCATACAAAGCTAAAGTTGCCTACACATGTAATACAATAATTGCATTATGGGGTAAGAGAGAACAACAACAAAACAGTTTTATTGGTCATTCTATGTAGAAATAAACTAAGGAATCCCAGTTTGATAACCTCTTTTCTTTTCTACCTTATAAAAACCATCAAAATATGCGGAAAATAAAATACACAAATACCCTACCTGATTGATAGCACAAATAGTAGGGACATTCATGTCAAACAGAACTGAGCAAATGGTTTCTTTTAGCTTCCTTCTAGCTGCTTTAGCAGATTCTATATCTAGAATAATACATTTAAAAAAAAAAGAAGAAGACAAATCAGATAAATGGAAATGCTATTTTAGGAGTGAAAGGGGGGGGGGAAGTAAGGAAATAAAAAGTGTGATCAACCCCAATCATGAATCCATTTGCTCATCTACCATATCACCCAATCTCACAAAAGTTACATTGGAAGGGGGTAAAAATAAGGAAAAGGATCATGCAGGTTCTTCTTCCTCATAAAGTGGTCAGCTGGATGCCAACATAAAGTTTAGTTATTATTAATCAACAGTCACGTATTACATGTTCCCGTAAGTTTTGGTAATTATCAAGAAACTATAAAAACCCAGTCGGTCCTATGCTTCCAAAATAAGCCAACCAAAATAAAATTATTGCATACCTGCAAGACTAAAATAAAATTTGAGCATATTCCCTTATCTAATTAGCTTGTTTCAATGGTTCGGAATTAGCCAATCATAGTATTGTCTTTAGGTTCACAATTGAACCTCATGCTTCTTTGACTAATGCATTCCTTCATAGTTTTTTTTTTTTTTTTTTTTTTTTTTTTCGAGAAAATTGTTGTCTATGAATTTAATGCATAGTATACTTGTAATGTTTTGCTCGCCTAATAATGTGATTTAAGGAAATTCAACATTCATGTATGCCCTTTTGTTTGTTGAATCCAAAGACCATTAAAGAAGATTTATCATCAACATAAAAACTTTGAAATATTCCACCCTTTTAATTAGTTTAGCAACCATAAAGCAAATACCCAAACTAAGTCCTAAGTCCTATGAAATGGGGTTGGCATAGTAAAAAATCATAACTCATAAAAATTAAATTGTTACATAAATTGTGATTAACTACATCTATTATTTGTCTAGCAGATATGAAAAAGAAACGATTTAGAACTTGTAATATTGAGAATAAGTCACAGCGCAAGCGATCAAATGCCTCTTCACAGCCTAGCCAGCCAAATAACCCTTCACAACTTAACGCACCAAGTGGAATTTCACAACCTAGTCACTCAACTGGGTCTCCATAGCTGAACTTGCCAAATAGAACTTCACATTCTAGTCGTTCAAATGATTCTTTACAACTTAATCAGCCAAATGGAACTTCACAGCCTAGTCGATCAAATGGCTCTTCACACTCTAGTTGGTCACATCCCTCCTTACATGCTCCGTCACATGTTCCACATCCTCAACCTCAAGAATCAGAGGTTAACCCTCGGTTTGAAGATGATTTAGATGAGGACTGGTTAAGGGAAGAAGAAATGCAACGTACAGGTATTATTATGTTTTTAGTTGAGGTACAAATTACAAGTCAATCTTCATTTCCATGTTATATTTCATTGTTGTATTGTAATAGATGAATTGACCAAGCGAAACGCGCGGGGAATTACACGTATGGTCGAAGTGTGGAATCTGACTCCAGAAGAACGCATTGTGCTTACCTTCAACAAGGATTTGCAGGCTGTTTCTATAGAGGGTGGTATATTCAGTCGCTTCATAGGCACCATTGCTAGGAAGCCACACTTATGCCCAATTAAGTACAAGAATTGGCATGACGTGCCAGATCAGTATAAAGAAGATTGTTGGAATATCATCGAGGTAATTTTCTAACTACAAGTATTTTGTGATTATTCTACTATAAGAGAGATGGGTATATGCATGTGAAAAAGACAATCTTTCATGCTATTATAGTTGAATTAAAAAGCATAATATGAGAATTAGGCAAAGAAATTCACAAATGCAGTTTATATTATTGTATTGATAATTTTAAGAATGTTCATAACATGAAAAAACATACAATTGTAGTCCAAGTTTGCCATTCCTCAAGATGAGAGAAGGGATATGATTAGGCATCGAACATTGAAGTCAATGGGAGAAAAATGGAGAAATTGGAAATGTAGTTTAAAAGAAAAATACTATGATGAGACAAAGACAGCAGCACAGATAGTAGCTACTGTGCCTTTAACAGTTAACCGTGAGCACTATGCTGACCTTGTCGCGTATTGGTTTTCAAAAGAAGGACAGGTATGCATAGATGTATGTTTTCTATCAAATAATACAATGTCATTATATCATTTTCTTTTTTAACCTACTGTTATGCATTTATGAGTGAAGGAGCTTAGTATGACCAATAAAGGAAGCCGGCAAGAGCAAACAAGTGCACATACAGGAGGATCTAAAACTTATGCACAACATGAATATGATATGGTATTTCAAACTTTATTTCTTGTTTTATATTTTGAATTTGGTTGGCACATTGTATTATGATTTTATTCTCGAACGAAATGATTGTTATATAGGAGCAAAAAGATAAGATTGCACTAGATTGAGCAAAATTATATATACCGCTTCACAAAAGGAAGGATGGGACATCGGTAAATGAAGCAGCAGCTGCAAAAATTGTATGTCCACTTAATAAGTTACATTTTCAAAATTCTAATGTGTTTGTGGCAAACAATCACTCTCGCTCTTTGCGTTCTTATTTTTTTTCCCCATTTATGCTATAGGAAAAACTAGAAGATTTGATGAGGCCACAACCAAGTAGCTCCGAAGGAAATGTTAGTGGACGGATATGTTGGTCACCAAATGATATTTATTCTCAAGTGATGGGTAAAGAGCGTCATGGTCGTGTTCGAGGTTTAGGATTTGGGCCCACTCCTTCCAAGCATGGCTTCATGTGCAATAGTGACTTAAGAATGGTTTCAGATGAGGAGAGAACGAGAGACAAAGAGGCCATAATTGAGTTGAAGGAACAAGTAAAAACTCAAGGTGATCAGCTACAAACTCAAGGTATTCAGTTGCAAGCTCAAGATGCTGTAATAAACTCTTTAAAAGAGCAAGTAGCATTTTTTATGAGACAAAGACAGTGTTCTAGTGGTTTGCAGGTATAACTACAAGTAATCATATTTATTTAAATGATATATTTATCATGTGTTATGCTTTTCTAAATTTATGCATACTCATGTAAACCTTATTGTATAAATTAGGCGACAGATGGCTCTAGTGGCATTCCGGACCAGGCTTCTCCACAAACACATCAGAGATCCTCTTTTGGGAATCATGAAATGCAACCTTTTAATCGGGGTCAGTCATCATTACAATACACATACATTGACACAAATTTAGAACCAATGTTAATGACTTCTCTACCAATAAATTGTTAGTTGGTTTGGAAAAAATTGGGATTTGATAGGATGACTTTCTACTTTGTTTCCTTTACTGGCATCCGTAAAAATACCAAACAAACCAGTGAAATAGAGAATTGGGCAATCGAACAAATTTGAATATCAACAATGGATCACATGGTAATATACAATTAAAAAATAGACCCTTGGATGTTGCTATTGGTTGCTTGATTTAGTGGTTGTTACTAATGTTTGGCTTTATTGGTTGATTTAGTCCAAATGCCAACCCGTTGGCATCTTATCTTTTATTTGGATATGTTTTAACATCCTAGCTTTGGAGTCTGCCCTCAGGATATATAAGGAAAGAGAGTCTTATATTCAAGGGCACATTGAAAAAATAGAGAGTATAACAGATAGCATGAGTAATAACTTCTTTTCATCTACAAAAAAAAGAACACTTGTCTGTAAGCGTCTTTCAATTGTAATGTTTATGTTTATGGTATATGAATAAAAGTCCATTTTCAAAACTATTATTCTTTCATAATATAATCCTCTTCTTGAGTGATACACTGACTATGAGAGATTGGGAGTAGGGTGAGGTAATGAGGCTATAGTGATTACCTATAGGCAAGAGACAACTTAGGAAAACAGAAGCTGAAAGCAACATCCAAACTTAAAAGACCTTGTGGAAGGTGTTCCTCATCAGAGTTCTATACTTAAGAGTAATAGCAGGGGCGAGGTGGGCACATATTTAGATATAATTTCCTAGACATTAATGATTGTTAGTTGCTTGCTTACATGTTCTAAGCCCTTTACATGTCTTCACCCATATCTAATCTTAGAAATCAACTTGCAGTGCTTAAAGAACAGCAAGAAGAACTAACTGCACAAATTGAGAACAATTTGTTTCTTAAATCTTTAGCCGCCTTACACTTCTGCATTACTGTATTTTTTCTCTCCATTTGCTGCTATTTTCTCTCTTAATGGCTGATCTATCTTAATATGTAAATATGATCTTTAACTTGAGTATGGTGATATTTTTTGATATGTAAACCATATACTTACCAAAAAGATAAGACTTGTCAAGAATTATTTGTAGTCTAAATTTTCTTTATAGATTTTGAAATGGAAAATGATACTTATACTCGTTCAATCATTTTTATTGCAAGAAATAAGACAATATGAAAGCATCAATCAATGGACGTCATTTCTCGATTTGAACATTTTTTATGGAGGTCTTTATAAAATGGCGTCATGAGTAATACTTTTGAGTACTATTGTCCTGTGACAAGTTTATATATACCTTTTACATTATGGTGTGGGCTATTAGTTTGTTAGAATTATTGGATCTTTTTTGTATTACAGGCTTATGTAATGAACCTTTTAATTAAGGCGTTTTGGAAATTTTGGGATTATAAAAATACAGATTCTTTTACCTTTTACAATTATTGAGTATTGAGCCATTAGAATAAAATAGTGTTTTTATAGATATATAATGTGAGCAGGGATAAGTGAGAGACAACCATTAATGGTTAGCAAATCATTGAAAATTTTAAGCTATATATTATTGGTAATTGATTTGTAAACATAGCATATAACCGCGGTTAATAACCGTCACTGCAAATAAAATTCAAAAAGAATTTTATGGTTATAGCGACGGTGTAAAATTGATGGAATAGAGTTAAAATACAGCAACGGTTCAGAAAATGTCACAAAAGTGAAGGATATAGCAGCGGTCGACACGTCACTATAAAGTTAGCAAGTAATGGGTAAATTTAAGATATAGTGACATTTATAACTGTCACTACATCGGCCGTCGCAATAAAAATAACTATACCAGCGTTTGAGGAAAACGTCACTATAAGGATATGCCAACGGGGCTATTGCGGCGGTTTGGCCATCGCTATTACAACCGCGGGTAAAGGTTTTCTAGTTTTTAGCGAAGCTTTTTCCTGCTTTTAGCAGCATTTTGGGCCGCTGCTAAAAGTGAATTTTTCTGTAGTGTGTGTATGTATAGCTCAAGAAGGTTTGAGGGTCAAAGGAGGAAGGAAGATGGAAGGAGGTCTATTTAGCTCTTCAAAGCTTTTGGAAATTTTGCTAACCTTGAATTCTGAAGGAAGAGGCCTTATTTATAGAATTTGAGCCAAAATGGTCAAAAATATCTTCAAACAAAGATATTTGTTCAATTCCCGCCAGCTGTCTGTCTGGCGCCATTGAGACCCGGCCGAGCCTAGAAAGAAAGTCTAGAAAAGTTTTCATTAAGGTCCTGCCGGGTCCAAAAATCTACATTTCAGGCCCGATTTCAAACGGGTATATCTCTCTCATCCAGACTCGGTTTTAGGTGATTCTTGAGTCTAAATTGAAGCCCCAGAAGTCTACTTTCCAATGGTGGTAGCCTCACATATAAATTCTAAGTGTGCAAAGAGATATTCCTATTTTAGTGAAGACTACTCATTCTTTCTCAACGGTTTGATGCTCAACTTCTTCATAAACTAGTTTTCTCTCCTCCCCTTCTATTTTCTTCAACTCCAAACCTACAACTAAGATGTTTTAAAATATTTTTCAAAGTATTCACCTCCCTTTCATTTATTTCTACTTTGTCCTTACTCGGTTTACCGAAAGTGCAATGTTTTACACGAAATGTGAGCCTCGGAATATCATAGAAACATTTGAAAAAATATTTTGAAAAATAGGGTTTTAAGGTCTAAAATAATTTAGCCAAAATAGGGTGCAAGGTTTGGGATTAAAGCTTGAATCCAAATTTCTTCACTGAGAATTCAAAAGATTGCACAGTGTAACTTTCATCATCGGGTGTTTGGAATAAAGTGTCCAAGTCTTACGGGCGGTCAAAAATGGGATGTCTACAAATAGGTTTGACAACTAATTTTATTTCCAATGAAATAAAAATGAAATTTTCAAAAGTCAAGAAAAAAAAATGTGCTTCCACTTGTTTTGAAAACTAATTTGTATTCTTTCCTTCATTTTCCATATCTATGGCCATATTTGGCTATACTCGTCGCCCACCACCCCTAACAACCCCACATCTTGACAATTAATCATATATATATACTAGTGTATGCCCGTACCTAAAGGCACGGCGTAAACAATGTTATGGTAAATCATACCCAAACAGCGACTTAGGCTGTAAGTCACTTAGGCTGCCGCAAAACCAATGAAGGTTGCGGACCATCTATACCCATCTCTGATTTATTGCTTATAAATAAGTGACTGGTTATTGCTTGTAAATCATGCATTAGAGGTGAAGGGTAAGAGGAAGGAGGATTGGGTTTGTGGAGCCTATTTGACCATGTGGTGACAAATTATTTTTGAATATTAATGGCATATTGGAGTAATTTTTTAATGTAAACTATAGCATATATATGAGTGATATTATTTGCACTTATCTTATTTTTTTAGACCTTTACTTATCAAAATTGGTTTTTCAATTTTTTTTTTTTTTAAACATTTATCATAATCCTAATCATATCTCCCACTTCTTTGGACCCCACCTTTGCCATCCCCATATTTGGCAGCCACTTCCTAACCACCACCACATCTCCTTGCTACCTCCCCACCCCTGACAGTCACTTTCCTTCTCAACCATAAAGAGAAAGAGAGTAGGAAGTGGGAACGTGAGGACGTGGCAAGAAGGGCAAGGAGTGGTGAGCAAGAGGAAAGGACTGGTGAGGGCGGTCAGAGATAGGATTAAACAAAAGAGGGGCTAAAGTTGCCGGAGGTGGGTGGTGCTTTGGGCAAACATGGGGTAAGGTTAGGGTCTTGGGAGGTTAAGAATAGTGATAAAATTGATATTTTATGATATAGTGAAATTGTAATGAAAAAAAAAATGGTGGGTTGGTATCTACAAAAGTAGGTAGGGACAAATAATAGTACTTTACATATAGTGGAGAAGGCATCATTCTCTACATGCGTGACCCAGATTCGACTCTTAGGGGGAGCAAAATGCTAGGTCATTCCAGTGGTTCTCTGCTAAGAACTCGCTCTGCACTCTGATCGAATCCTGGGTTCGTCTGTGGCGTGTGGTTGAGCTCTACTGGTGTCACGGTAGTGGGTCCCTTTCTTTGGGTTGGGTTAAATCAGGCTGACAACCAGTTACCCTAGGGCCTGAGCCTACAGATACAGTGACGACACCTCATCGCATCCTTTTTCTACCTTGCAAAAAAAAAAAGAATATTTTTTCCCTTGATTTCTTGGGTGAGATTTGGGATTCAAGCTTATGGAAAATCATTAAATATCCATTAATATTAATCTTGTTTGCTAACTTGCTAAAATAGTAGGAATTTGATTCTTCCTTTTCCTCAGGGAAATCTTACATTTATGGATGTAAAGCAAAAAGAAAAATAAATTGGTTCATAATATTCAAATTTGATCATTTTTTGGTAGAGAATTCTTGATGAATCAAATATTGGATCGAATAATTGTAGACATATTATTAGATTACATTTCTCTTTAAAATAATGGATGATCTATTTTGAAAATTACAATTGCTATCTATTTATTATTTTTATTTTTATAACAATTGTGATATAATCATATGGTTATTGTTGTCCAAACAATTAAATTTTTGTGAGGATAATCTTCTTAATTGTTTTTATAATGTGAGCTATTTGAATAATCGAGATGAGCCTCACGATAGGCTCACGAGAGCTTGAAATTACCTCCAATTAGCTCTTCCTTGACATAATCCAATCAATTTTATAATTTGACCAATTAATCTAAACATGTTCTTAATTTCCAATTTATATCCAATATCTCTAAAAGATTCAATAAGCCCTAAGAATGACCATTCCAACTTTTCCCCAACCACTTTGGTGGAGACACAACTATGAGCACATATATACCCTCTAAATAAAAAAACTAGTACATATATATACCCACATGTATGTATGTGATTCATTTTGATGACAACAATATTAGAGGTCCCCTTCATCAAGCTTTTTCTAGTCTTTTAATTGGGCATCATGCGTTGAAATATTTTTATCCATAAAACTAAACTGTCCATTTACAATTTGTCAACAGAT